CTTAACAGATACATGCAGGATAAAAATGACGATAACAGCCAAAACGAACGATGTGCTTGACTCCTCAACGCTCTTCATCGATAGCGACTAGTGTCCGAACCGTTCTAGGGCGGGTTCCCTGTTTTACGCTATCCCCCTGAGGACATTTCTGTTGTTGCTCGGCGTAATCCATTTCTCTTCGATCTCAAATCTTCATGGATAGGACGAATCCTGCCTCGTCGGGTATATGGCCGTCCAAGCTTGGACCGGGGCGGGAACTGCCTGCGGGGTAGCTACGCCCGTACTGTAAAATAGAGGAACCGCTCGTGGAGGGGAGCTCGCTTGGACGCCTGCGAGCGAACCTCCCTGACCGACTGTCTGGCCGGGGTAGACCGGCACTTGCTGCTGATAGTACTGTTGCAACTGTTGGTAGTACTGTTGTTGTTGCGGTGGTTGCTGCTGCTGTTGTTGTTGATGCTGTTCTTGCTGTTGCTGCTGTTGTTGTTGCTGCTGCTGCTGTTGATATTGTTGGATCTGATCGTAGCTCAGACGTCGGTCAAGCGCTGGAGGATTCGCATTGTGACGCTGAGGCGAGGAAGGCATGGAACTAATCGGGGACACCATGGCGACGTTTTGCGGCGACGGCTCTACATGTTGGAATTGCTGATACGATTGTTGGGGAGGAGTGTGCATCTGCTGCTGTTGTTGATGTTGCTGCTGCTGTAGCAATAATTGCATCCGAACCCGTTGTTCTTGCGGCTGCTGATCGATCGCTGCCTGTGGCGAATGCCCAAGCGACTGGTCTTCAGGTTGTTCGTTTGGGGATTGAAGTACAGACGCCGGTAACGAGGCCCTCCGCTGCTGCTCCTGCTCAGCGAGTTGCTCTTGTTGTAGAGGCGGAATTCTATCCTGACTCTGCGATTTCGGCCCCGGGCTCATTTGTTGTTGGATTTGCGATCGTTGGTTGTAGTGCTGAGCTGGTTGCTGCTGCTGCTGTTGTTGGGGTAGCATCGAAGCTTGTTGGGCTTGTTGTTGGTTTTGTTGTTGCTGTTGTTGATGCACATAGGCCGGGCTGGCGCTATTCGGCGTGAGGGGGGTTTCCTGAAGAAGTATACCGCCGATGGCCAGCGGCGCTGCTCTCCGTTGGGGAGCTCTGAGCGCCTCCTCGAGACTCATCACCGGTGGGAGACCTCCCTCGTCCTCGTCCGAAAGCTCCGGGGGGACTTCCTCCGCCGTCGCGGGAACTTCGTCTTGGACTGCGGGCGTCGTTTCGCGGAACAGTTCGTCTCGGAGACCGGGGAGGAAAGCTTCCACTCTGTCCCAGGTCACGTTCCACAGCTCGGTGCACTGTCCCGCTTCCGTACGGAAAACACCGGTCCAATACATGACGAGCAACATGTTTTTAAGACATTCCCGGATAGCGTCCGATAGCATCTCACCGCCTGCCTCTCGGAGGTTTATATATTTGTCCATGTAATCAAGGATCGTTAACCAAAGGGCTGTGAAGGTAGGAAGGGTGAGAAGGGGCGACAGATGCTGGAGGAGAACTTTGCTCAGCAACGTGTTCACGCGCACGCGGGTTTCCTGAGCGACCGAGGCCTCTTCGTCGACGTTCCTCTCCAGGAGGCTAGCGAGCAG